AATTCAGTGATTCATCACTTACATACAACACCCAGTGCTCATCACAAGTGCTCTCCTTAATGCCCATCACCCATCTAGCCCATTTCCCACCCACCTTCCTGCAAAACCCTTAGTTTGTTCTTTATCCTTAAGAGTCTTTTATGGTTTGTTTCCTTTTCTTCTCTTCCCCTCTCCCTAACTGCCCTCACCTTCCCATAGTTCCATGCTGCAATGGATAGGGCATGTGACCCTTGATCAAGGGGTTGTGAGTCCAAGCTCCACATTGGGCAGAGGTCTCATTTACCAAACAAAGAAGTCAGCCAGATTTAATATAACTTAAAAAAAAATGCATGTTGTTTCCTCATTATTTAATTGTAGAACCTGTTTTTAAGAAATCAAGAATTTACCCTCTTAGGAAGACTTACACACACAAGTTTTTATTCCTAAATGTGATGATCCAATGATTGGATAACTGAAGTTTGTTTGTTTTTTAAAATTTTTTTTTACTGTTTATTTATTTTTGAGACAGAGAGAGACAGAGCATGAATGGGGGAGGGTCAGAGAGAGAGGGAGACACAGAATCTGAAACAGGCTCCAGGCTCTGAGCTGTAAGCACAGAGCCCGACACAGGGCTCGAACTGACTGCGAGATCATGACCTGAGCCGAAGTCAAACCCCTAACAGACTGAGCCACCCAGGCGCCCCTGGATAACTGAAGTTTATCCCAACGGTTTAATAAAAACTATGGTGGGGTTTACATTTCTTACTTTTTTCTTTACAAAAGTTGATATTTTGAATAAGATACTAGGAAGATGAGTTTTGGTTTCCACTATTGGTTAAACTGCCTGAAAATCTTTAATAGTAGGATTTTTGAGACTCCCAAAATGCTGCTCTTAGGAAGAATCAACCAAATTTAGACTTTCCTTCTTGATTTCTTCCTCACGGAATTCAGGAATAAAATCTAGGAAAGCTATCTTGCTCCCTGCTACAGTGTTCTAATTAAGGATGTAAGTGATGACTATATTAGTGAACGTTTTGTTCAACAGAAGCCTAAATGTCTGTCTGGCATCCTTTTGATAAAATTGGATAAACTGCCTATTTATAGAGAGAAGTTGAGACAATGTGTCCAGGCAGATAAAATCAGAAGTTATGGTCTTTTCCGAAGCAGAAAGGACATGAAGAAAAGACAGAATATAGTTGGTCAATATCCTTTGCTCCTCTGAGAGCAGTAAACAGCTCCTCATAAAAATAATACGAATCCTGAACAGTGGCATTAGATTCTATACCATATATAAGAGTGGTCAAAAGCAGGTAGAATATGGAAGGTCAAAGAATCTCATGAGAGGTTTTACGAATAACAAAACATCAGCCCCCTTCTATCCTCCAGTGTCTACTCATTACTCCATTCACATTTCCCCCAAATTATTTCCTGCAAAGCTGAAGAGTGATAGATATTTTGATGTCTTCAGTGGGACTTTCAGGGATAACAGGTTTGGGAAAAAGAATGCAGTCAGGGTGAGTGGGATAAATGTTTTTGTTCTTTTATTTTTCCCCAATGCAAACAATTTTTATCCCCAATTCTTTGTAAGCTTGGATAATAATTACAGAATATACCTCTGTTTCAGTACTAACCTCTGAGAGCCCAAAGTGAAAGAAATTAGTGCCCTAACCTTGTTTTCTTTAAATGTCCTCAAGGTCAGCAAACAAGACAACCATCAGCACATGTGACAAACACAACCATCCGGAACCTAAAGACCAAACACCTCCTGTGCCCCAGCTTCCTTTTCCATTATCTAGAATCGTGTTTAAATTTTTTAAAAGGCAGCATCCAACGAGAACATTGAACAGAATGGATAGGTCCTGAGCCCCAAATGTCCACTGTAAAAATTCTTCACACAGACTGGTGCTATCTCTTGATACTCAATGATTGTTTAGTTGGAAGGATGTGGCTTATGAAACAGATGTTCAAATGGATTCTCTTTAGGACTCCCAGACTACTTCTGCCAGTAGGTTGGTATAGGGTGAAATTCCATGTATACTCTTGTATATATTTTTTTCCAATAGAGGTAAATTTACAAAGAAATCAACACACTCTGATTATGTAAGATTCTTAATATGCTTACTATGTCTTCAATCCGAAAATTGTAAAACTGAAGCCAATAATATAATATATAATAAATCTATATAAGAAATATGAAAGAAAAGTATTGTGTAAAGCAAGAATATAATTGTTTTGGTGGTGCTTTTTGATTTAAAAATAGTCTAGTTAGTAATGTTATGTCTTTGCTTAAATTCTTGTCCTAAATTCCTTTTGCATGTTTACTATTTGCAACAAGAGCTCAAATGCTATCTGACCAAAGTCTATTTTGTATAAAATTCCAATAAATTAAATGTTATTTTATTATAAATTAAAACATTGTCTGTGGCTCTCCTTTCTTTGGTGTTTGGAATTCATTTTAGTAACAAGCACACACACACACACGCACACACACTCTCCTCATATTTAATCCATATTCAATTCAAATAAATTATTACTATATATTTACTATAAAATAATCAAGTTAATGTCTCACATTATAGGGTAGTTTTTAAAGAACTAAGTTTTAGAAAAGGTAACTTACATAGTCATATAAAACCATTTTTCTTTATAGGCTTTTTAAGATTTTCCTTCTATTTCTGGAGTCCTGGAATCTTCTCAAAATGTGTCTTAGTATCAGGGAGGAAATAAGCCCCTGGCATAATTAACAAAACCTCAGTTACTAGGTACTAGAACTTAAAACTTACAAGTAACAGTGAATTAATTAATATTTTATTCCACGGGACAAATAGTATAGTTTATTTATAGATCCTAAATATTTTAGGTGACTTTTTCAAAATGTACATCCAAGTCTCTTTCACATGGGTTTTTGAAGTGTGCTTACGTTATAAAGTCCACTATCTCCACTCTTGCTGATCATCACAAGGAATCATCTTCATTACCCAATGTCCAGAGACCCCCTCATTTCCTGCTGATCATAAGGCAAAACTCAGAGGGGAGGAGCCAAGATGGCGGAACAGCATGGACGTTTTTTGTGTGTCTTGAGTCCATGAAATACAGCCAGACCAACACTAAACCATCCTGCACACCTAGAAAACTGATCTGAGGATTAACACAACATCTGCACAACCTGAACCACAGAATTCAGCAGGTACACGGCGCTGAGCGAACTGGGGGAGAGAGAAGCTGCCGAGGGCAGGGAGCCACTTTTGCGTGCAGGGGCGGGGGGGGGGGGGGGGGGGG